AAAGAAAGAAAGAAAGAAAGAAAGAAAGAAAAACAAAATTGTAAATAAGAACAGAAAATAAACCAAAAGAAATTCATTGAATTGATATTTCACTAATTAACCATTGGTTATGAAAATGGTCCACAAGATGTTATTACTTTCCTTACCTCCAGGGTAATTGAGTTGGTTTCTTCATCAATTTTCTTTCCTGACATTGAATTAATGTATGTCATAGAGTTATGTTCCTTCACAATTTAATTTTAAGGTATTATGGAAGCTTCATCAAGTACATTTGTTTCTGTGACCAAATTGTTAGAAAGAAAATAGCCATTTAAACTATGAATCATACAAGAAAAAATAAGAATGATCAAGGTATGCAATATACATTACCAATTCCCCAATATTAGTGTAACTGTTATACCACAACTACGTTAATGATAAAAATACATTACATAAGAAAAAAGAAAGTAAATAAATTGCAAGCATACACTAATAATAAAAAGCAAAAGTAAAAGAAACTAAAATTAAAAAGCTTTCAGCCTTGCCTTTTACATGTCTTGTGGCCAGGAAGCGATTGGTCTCATGGTGACCCTCTATGGCAGAAACTATACTTTGTGCCATGGACATCATCACAACCAAGCACAGTTGTGCTAATGGTGGCTTATGCTTGATCTCCTTTTAAAAAGAAAGGTCTATAAAACTGAATTCCTGATCTACTTTCCATGTTTACTTGTAAAGTGTTGTAAAAACTCATTTCATTTCGGCTATTTATTAAAGGCTTATGTTCCTAGACTACTCAGCTTCTTGTTAGAAAATGGAAGCAGCCTGCTTTGCCTTGCAGGTTATTGATTCCTTGATTCAACAGGCCTCTAAGGGATAGGTAAGGAGGTGAGTATATGACTTTGAGCTGGGAGAGGTGGCATACACCTGAAATTCCTACCCTTTGGAAGATTAAGTCAAGAGGATTATAGTTCCAGCTCAGATGTACAGCCTTGCAACTTAGCAAGACCCTATTACAAAATGAAAATAACAAAAGGATGATGTAGCTTATTGTGGAGGCCCTAAGTTCAATCACCAGTAGTACACATACCAAGGAAAATAAGAGACAGAGAGATAAAAAAAGGAGAGGGAAGAAGGAAAGAAAAAAGAAAAAAAAAAAGGAAGGTAATTCTGATAATCATTAAATCAAATTAGAAGGAAATAGTTGGGTCTGTGGCTAGAAGTACTAATAGGGAAGCAAAATATGTTGAATATTATTTGAAGCCTCCATAATTATTATAAAAAGGCCAGCCAGTTTTTAAGACTAAAACCAAGAATAATTTATACCAGTAAACAAAGCTTTTCATTTTTTTTAACCATTTCTGTTATATTTCTGTTTTAGATGAGGGATTTTCAGTTTTTAAAACAAGAAGAGTAGACATTTGACGAAGTAACTATACATGTTCACTTTGTAGTCATGATAGGTCACATTCAAACCAGTTTATGGGGCTGGCAAAATAGTTTAGCAGTCTAAAGCACCTGCTTAGGTAAGCTTAGGCAACACAGGGACTGCAGTTTGATCCCTGGCACGACATGCTGCACCAGCTTCACCCCAGGGCCACAAAAGAAAAATAGAAGTCTCAAATCAGTTTACATTATCTTATATAATATTTCACAATTTTTATTTTGAGAACAAATTTACCTAGTGGAATCAGAATTTATGCCAACATCTGACTACCTTGAAAGTTTTTTTATCACTCCATACTCTGTCACATGTTATAAACTCTATTATAGAATAAAATATGTGAAAGCTTCAGGACATTCAAAGTGTGTTTGGTAAACTCCTAGGTTGGTAGCAAACGATTTCTGAAACCTTATCACAGTCTAGTCCCATCACTTAAATGCTCTTTCATGAGTATGACAGCCCAGTGTACTTCAGACCAACAGTAGCTGTGGATACCACCTTGGTTCTGTAACATGGTGAGAGGAGCCTGGCTTCATTAGTTATGGTGGACTAGAGTGTACCTGTAACTCTTATAACCATTGACTAGAGGTTTCATGAAAATACAATAAGTGTTACTTCATTTTTAAAAATCACAGATATTGTGGACTTTCTAAAACTGATAAATGGAGAAGGAAGTAAATTTTGAGGTTACCAGGGCTACATCACACAAGCATTTGTTTTACTATATATTTTATCATATGTTACAGTCAAAATGAAAGTAATGTCAATTTAGTATTATATCAGTGAAAAAATATCACTAAAATCTGAATCTGCACTAATAATTTTTAAGAAAACATTGTTTTTTATTATATGTGATCCATAATGCTGATGTTATCATTGGTATAACTAGGAATTTAAGCAATTATCATTTCAAAAGTTGGTAATATTGGACAAGAAGTTACTAAGGATTGCAAATCCCAATGAGATCAAATTAATATAGCAAGAGACTAATGCCCAGATTAGAAAGACTGTTTGCTTCCTGAAGAAATGTGATTAAATCTGGATCAATGGCATGCACCTGTGGTGTAGCTATAGAAGAGGCTGATGGGATCACTTAAGCCCATTTGAGGTCAACTTGTAAAGCATAGCAAGACCTATTATAGTCTTCCCTGGTTCTACTATGAGTATCCACATTGGCTGTGTGAGTTCTTTATATTGTTATATTTTCTGTTACTTTTACATGTATTGCAATTTTTTCTTTTTTGTTATTTGACTTTTTATTCATGATATTCTTTGACAAAAGTTTTATGTGGTCACACATAATATATCAGTTTTAGATTTTTGATTTTTGGAGTATCGTTGTTGATGTTTTGTATAACATACTTATCTATCATGCATACTCCCATGCTATTTTGAATCCTTATCTCTAGAAAAGTATAATAAATGGATTGTATTTTTAAATATCACAAGCATAACATTTTTTTCGTTCTCCATACAAGTGGTATATGAAATTCCTCTTATTTTACTTATCCTATTTTACTTGCCATTTTTATATACTATATTAATATTTATACATCAGTTTTATCAGGAGTACCAGGTATGATGGCTCATTTCTATAATCCCAGCACTGAGGAAGCTGAAGCAGGAGAATCGCTGCAAGTTCACTGCTAGCCTGGGGCTACATAATGAGTTTAAGGAGAGCCCATAATACACTCCGAGACTCTGTCAAAGTAAACACACACACACACACACACACACAGAGTTCATTTGTTCATTATTTTAGTCCATGTCTGTTCATTAATTATTGTTTTTGTTATGTAATTTTTTTCTCCCTAAGAGAAAAATCATGTTCTTTCATATAGATCTAACAAGTACCACTTATTTGATAAATACTCACATCTTGGTCATTTACATAAATCCCATATTGAGTGTAGCATGTACCAGCAACAGATTGCTATAATCCTTTCTCCAGATCTGACCATTGTATTTAAAAGAGAAACTAGAGTAGTGGGTGTACTATGCATATTTTCACTGCTTTAAATTCACGGATGATATTAAAAAATGAAGAATGCACTAGCTTAGTGTTTGATCTTTACCATATACATCTAATGTCACGATCAATTGCTTTTAGTATTTTCTTTGAAATCATGTAAAGGTTTATATGTGCCAAATTTCATAAGGATCACATGATAAGGTCAAGAAATACAAATTCCAAGGTAGAATTTATATGCCCAGTTCACATATGACAGTAATACTATATAACCATATGTTGAATATAATACACTTTATGTAAATGCTATTCTTGAAAGCAATCCAATCAATAAAACCTAAAATAAATAACTCTTTAATAACACATTTCAAATAGACTGAAAATGGAATAGATGGGCTCTGTGGCAAGAATATCCCAATAAAATTGACATTCAAAGGCTGTTAAAACATAGTGAGTAAAACAATCATGAAACAAAAAAAGAAAACAATATTGAGAAGTTTTCTACTGTACTGTATGCCAAGATACAGCAGTGATTTTTATTTAAAGAGCTGTATTTTTATTTAAAAACTGTATTTCCAAATATTAAAAAGCAAATTCATTTTACTAGTACCAGTAGCCAAATATAGTTTGTTAAAAATATACTATATTAACCAAAAAAGTAAAAGATATATAACATTAAACAGGAAAGTGTCAAAATAGAAAAAACTCACATTTCAGTGAAGATTGGAACTACATTGAGTTTTATCATTAAAGAAGGTTACGGGAAAGCTACTGAAGGTAACTTCAAAAGCCTAGTAGTAAAAAGAGATTATAATGTTGGTAAAACTCTTAAATAGATCAAATAACCCATAAGTAGTCCTAATGCACTGAATCTTTGAACATGTGTGTGTCTTTTTCAAGCTGACAGGGTTGCCAGTTTTTCTTTGTTTCTAACATTTTTTTAAATCCAAGTTTTAAACTGTTAATGCTCAGTAGCTCAGAGTGCAGGAGCTTTACCTTCAAAAGTGACCTGAGCTGAAATTTAAAATGTCTTTTTTCTCGTTAGTACTGGAAAACAAAGTTTTGTGACCCCATCTTGTATAGACAGTTTTATCTTTTTCCATACAATATACTGAATATACACAAATAAATCAAACAGTGAAAGTTCTATGTAATTATTTAGCTATTTTTTCATTTATTCATCAACTCAAATTTATACATTAAACTTTATAAAGACCTACAAGTAAATAATCTGATGGTATCAAAAAAAAGGGGGGGGGAAGCAAAAGGGGGAAAAGAATTGAAATATATATGTGTTGCACTAATTCTCCACAATGAATGCAATTATTACATACTTACTATGTGCTGCAAAAAATTCATACACTAAAATGAGATGTTAGTATTGTAACTGATGTTTTTAATTTTAATTTTGTCACTTCAGATCCTGGGAAGACACTGCCTGAAGGCCTTGATTACAGCACTGTATGGCTACAGACAGTACCTGGAGAAACAGACAGTAAGAGTGGTATACCACCTTCCCTTGTAACACTACAAATTAAAGACTTCCTTAATGGACCAGGTGATTATAGTAATTACATATAAGATCTGTTGGAAATTTTGACCTTTTTTGCCAAAAATAAATAGTTCACTTGCTTTCCTAAAATGTTCTCTCTTTGGGCTGCCCCTCCTAGAGATCAAAAGACAGATATAAATATGCTTTCTAATTACCTCTAGCCTGACAACAAGTGGTTGATTAAAGAATAGCTGGCTTAAAGCTAAAATTCCAATATTTTATTTCTACCTTTTGTCTTAATTGTGTTGTCTTAAATGAATGATCTTATCCTCTCTGTCTCAGTTTTCTTTTCTTTTCTTCTTTTTCTTTTTGGCAGAACTGGGGATTGAACTCAGGCCCTTGTGCTTGCCAGGCAAGCACTTATTCTACTGAGCCATCTCCCCAGCCCCTCAGTTTTCTTACTTGTATATGAAGGAAATAAAATGGATAGAAGGATGAATGGTTGAACACATGATGTTTATACATAAAATAGTACATATAGCTAGATTAGATACTTGAGTACATTCATTTCAAATGCTTAGGAAAGTGCTTGAGACACAGAAAGCAATTAGTTCTTTGAGATACATAGGTACAAATACCAAATGTGGTTTACATAGTCATAAAAACCCAAGAAATAAGTACTACAATTATCCTGTTTTATAATTAAAGCAGCCAAGACTAAAAAGTAAAGGAAATTGCCCACTTATAGTGGCAGAAAAACTATTTTAAAATCTGTCTTTATATTTACAAAGACTAGATCTTAATATCTCTACTAATCTACTTTTAGTATAGATATTATTTTTTTTCCTCCTCTTTTCCCATTTTTTCTTATTCCTTTGTCTTTTCTTCCTTTTCTTCTTTTATTAGTCTTCTCTTCAACAAAGTGTTAAATATTTATTTAACAAAAATTACTATATTTTAGTTTTTTTCTGTTATATGGAATAGTATTTTAGAATGTTTATCATCAAATAAGTATTTATTTTTCCAGTAAGAATGTATAATAAGGGCCATTGAGATAGTGCAGTGTACTGAGTGCCTGCTTAGGCAAGCACAGGGACCAGAGTTCGATCCCTGTGCAGAGTTCCAACACATGCTGTGTTGACCTCACTCCTGGGCGTGCTGAGACAGCCACCAAAACCAGGCATGGTGGCTTACACCTGTACTCCCAGAGCTGGGGAGGCTGCAAACCGGAAGGTAACTAGGAATCCTAGCTGCATAGTGAGATCCTGTACCAAATATATAATAAATAAATAAATAAATAACAAATGAGTTTATAGTTTCAACTCTGCAAAGCATCAATTTTGATCAGGGAAATGTCCGTGTGTGGACCCTGTGGAGTGTTTGTGCTGTGGCTCCTCAGTGCTCCTGTGGTGAATGACTGTAGATGGAGAGGGCCAGTCACAAGGTCTGGACTGGACAGAGCCAGAAACCGAATTTGCTCGTCTCTGGGGCTTGGTTGTTCTTTATGCTTGTACCTCCAGTGCTATCATGAAGAACTATTTCTATTCATGATAAGTATCTGGACATGGTTTTAAAAACAGAAAGTTAGAAACTCAGGATGAAGGATAAGGGAGTCATTAATGTTGGAAGAAACTTTTGTGTAACAGTAGATAGGTTGGAAGAGAATAAGTTCTATCTAGTACTTGTTTTTTGAATATGAAATGTTCTCTTTCACTGAATTAAAACCACCATGAATTATAGGAAAAGATATTTAATGTATCATTAAAAAGAAACTTCTGGAGCTAGGAAACATGACAGTGTCAAGCCATACAGTTATATGTAGAAGATGGACAAGGCAATGATCCTGAGAATCTCCAGAAGATTTTTGAATCTAGCAATTAATTGGAAAGATTCTCACCCTGACTAACTATATATACTGATACCTGTGAACTAAGCAACTGCACTGCAGATGGTAATCTGTAATAGTAGTTTCATGTTTGGAGTGCCTGTCATTCTGGTCTTCTGAATACAGGCTGCTTGTCATGACATGCCAGTTGCTGCTATGCTGTCTCTCTGGTAGATGGTTGTTCAAAAAGAAGGGGGTGGTGAATGAAAGCAAGAGACAGGAAAAGGAATGTTGTGGGACTGTCCTGCTTCAAGGTTGTATATGGTGAGATTTTTGGACTTATGTGTAAACATAAGTTTATAATTCTTTATGCCTATTTTTAAAATGTATCCTAATTTTTAAATTTTTTTATCATGTTCTGTAGGGACTTAAAGTTCAACATATCAATACTTTATGAAAAATACCTGTTCCATGTTATGCCTTAGATGTTTGATATGCAGACAGATAGTGAGGTTAAGCTTAACAGCCTAAGTTGTATGGTAATAACAATAAGCTTGTCTTCTGGATGGTTAACAACCTAAGTTTGCAGACCAAATTAGAGAAAAAGGAAGGCTGCATTGAAAGCCAACTTTTTGGCCCTAGCCTTCCAAGGTCATATAAGACTCAGGACATATGAGAACTTGTACTGTTACATCATGTAACTCACTAGTGTCCCAAATTTTCTGATCAAGGTCATTATGGGGCCAAAGAGGAAAGTGATCAATGATGTACAGTGTGCCTAAGGAGAGTCACATGGAGAGAAAACATTTTCTCAGGCTTTCACAGAGAACACAGTGGCCCAGCAATGGCCGTGACTCATCCACATGGCTGACACTGACAAAGGTTCTACAATGTGAGGTACAGGATCTCAGGATAAATCCTGAGGGGATTTCACTGACCTTATCAGACGCAAAAGCTACAACTCTTGTTGCATAGGTCCTGCTTTACCTTGGTCTTAACCATCTAGCAGAAAAGTACAAAAACGAAATATAAGAAGTAAAGCCATGCTGTTATGTTAACCTGTAGGGGAATCAGGTCAACAATTTCTGACATTGCCAGTGAAGCGGAAGACCCAATAATATTATGGACTACTGGACTCTTTTAGAATATTTTGCTGAGTTTACACACCTATAATAATCAAATAACGGAACTGAACAAAAAAAGGTATACAGATGAATGTCTATTTTGCATCTGTGTATTCAGAGTGGTTAGGATAGATATATAGTTACATTCTCTTAATGAATAGAGTGATTTGTTCTAATGGTTTTTGTAAATAGGATATCATGTCCTCATGTTGTACAGCAATTAACCACTGAAGACAGTATACAATGTGTTAATTATTGAAACTGTCCTACCAATTTGATTTGAAACTGTCTCATTGCTATTTGTTTCTCAATAAAATTATGGAAAAACTCTTCTGCCACTGAAACTGTAATACAGTGCTTTCTTTTATTATATCAGATGTAGGACATTTCCTGATTTTAGTGTTATATGTGAAAGACTTAAAATGTTGGGACAGATTAAATAGGATTTGGGCTAGGGAGATAGCACAGTAGACGGTCCTGAGTTCAATCCCCAGTACTGAAAAAAAGATAAAATAGGATTAGTTCATAGAAGAGTGACAAACTTTGCTTCTTATTTCTCATTGAGTCTCACATTTGCTTTGTATTTAGTCTTTCACTGAGTTTGGCTGGGAAGCTGTCTTGCAGTTTCTATTTGATCTGTTCATGAAAGGGATAAGGATTTGCAAGTTGATGGTAGATTCAGTACCATATTCTGAACACAACCAAATAAATTGAATCCTAAGAGAAAACACCAATGAGTACATAAAACTATATATTAGTTCCTCCAGCATTTGATATAACTATGTGGTAGAAAAAAATTGCTTTTTAAGGTAATTGTACTTTTGTGTTTCTTAAGGTACTTTTCCAAATTGGGAATTAGATATATAGCATTTCTGATTTCATGTCCTTTCAATAGTGATGATAATGTACCCGGAAATTCAAACTCTTAAGTAATTGAATTGAAATAGTTACTTTGCAGTAGGGCTGCTCAATCTTCAGGCTTTGTGTGAAGCATCTCTGCAGAATGTGTTAAAATGCAAATTGTGATTTAATAGTTGTGGAAGATGGAGCTTACAAATCTGCATTTCAACAGGTTCCTAGATGAAATGAATGTTATTTAGGGGCTAAGCTATGTATAGACATGTTTGCTTATCCAACTGTTTATATATGACTTCTAAGAGCATTAGTAATAGCTTTTGAGGGTACAACTCCAGAAATTTGTGGGCACAAGAGAACAGTTTTCATAATGGTGCTTTTATTGTCAGAAATTAAACAGAATGGAGATTATAACTAAAAGTACTCTTAGTTTAAATGTTGTTTCAGCTCTGTGAAGCTTCCTGACAACCTTGTACTAAATTTATTTTCTTGAATAAAAATTTTCTTACTGTGAACAGTTTATCATTTCAAATAGGTCAGTAGATATTCCACAGGTATTTACCTTCTGTCATTATATTGTCAGATTGTCACTGTATGTTAAATTGGAAATCAAGAAGCTATAGAGAATAGTAACATTATTTAAATGGGAATAAAAGACATTAAAACAATTTTGGCATATTGAATGTACTATTTTATAGATTTTTAGCAATTTTTAAAATTTTTTTTGAATTTTACATAATAAGAGTGTAAGAAAGGGCATTATTTATGCTGAGAAGGGGGAAAACAAAGTTTACAATATTTTCCAGTACTATTTCTCTCCCTTAAGAAATAAGCACTAGTGATAATAATTAAGGTATTACAAATAATACTTGTTTCTTATGCAATGTTCTTATTAAATATTATGACAAACTTCCTGCCATTACTTTTCTAATAAGTATACATATGTATTCACATAACATTCCTAAAGAATGCCTTACTGCTACATATCCAAAGCCATAAACTTTTTTGTGCTATTGAATTTAGGTTACAGTGATAATAGATATGACCCTCAAATATAAGGAAATAGTAAGTATAATTGCCTAACCTTAAATTTTCTTCAAAATAATAGCATTTTAAAATCCATCCTTTCAAAATTATCTTTTAGAGATTATTTTCTGTGAACAAGGTGATACAAATTCTGCAACTTGTATTTGGCAAACCAATTCAGAGTTCTTGAGTATTCACTTATTTCCTCTCTTCACTTAGAATTACCTTACCCAAAT